TTAAGAGCATTGTTTCTGCTCAGTAATAATTCTGGCATATTGTAAGCTTAATTTAAAATATCTCTAATTGAAGATGGAAGGGAAAATACAGTAACCTGCTTTATGTTTAGGAAAGTATGGGAAACAACTTAACTGTATCATATTAGATTATGTCCAAGGGGCATTCAGAAGCCTAGTGGACTCATGAGCTCAAGGACTCTATTTGGACTGAGTTATCTAAATTCTCATGTCTGGTAACTACTCTATAGCAAACCCTTTTTAAAGCAGAAGAGATGCTTTGAAACTAGGCATCTGTAATGAGGCATGTGAATTAGGATCTGAACTGCATGCTTCTTTCTATGTGCTATGGAGGGAGCCCAGAATGGCCAGCTGAGACATAGAAGTCTGCTGTGTAGGTTGACTTTTAGGGTATTTAAATTTACAGGTCTGTGTGAAGGTGCCTACCCAGTAGTCTATACTCCTATCACCAACAGTGCAGTACTAGGAAATGCTGACTGTAGAGAACAGAAGGATTATTAATTTGACCATCTACAGGAAAACACCAGTAAAAGCTGTTGAATTTGCTCTGTGCCAAGATGTCATTGGTTTTCCATGTTACTGGTGTTCCTGTTTTGCTATGAAAAGAAAGTAATGACTTATTTAAGGTTTCAACATTTGCCGAGACAAGGCCACCTGAGAGTAAGCCAGGTGGGACTGGAGATTCTACTTCTCTCCAGGCTCCCATTCCAGTGCAACCCATCTTTATGTAATTCCTTTTCATTTGAAATTTTCTTTGTTGCCTCTTACACCTTCAACTTCATATCCATTCACTGTTTGCTTTCAGAAAGTGTCTCTTCATTGTGGAGTTGCGGTGCACTTCATTATTATGAAAATAATAATGTGTCCTGGTTTAGGGTAAATTTGGGAGAAAACTTCTAAAGGGGTCCCTCTAGAAAGCAGATTCAAGCAGCCCCTCCCCCACCTGGTTTGGGAAAAGATTTCATTGGATAAAAATGGAAAAAAACCCTGGTTTTTTAACAAGAAAAGTATTCAGAAGCATATAAAATGAGTAATAGTAAACAATAAAACCTCTTGCTGTTCTGAAGAGATGGCAAATTCAGAAAGTCCTTGTCATCGGGTGTAGCTCAGCTCACTGAGTCTCTTATCCGTCCCTCCTGTGCTGGAAAATTCCATGTTCTGTGCCCTGGTGGGTCACAGGTGTGAGCTCCCAGTATTCTTCTGGGTTTTCAGTCAAGCAGGGCCAATCAGTTTCAAGAAAAAGAGAAACCACAGTCCAGGGAACTTCTCTGCCTCAGCTAGCTAAAAACTAAGAGCAAGGAGAGCTCTCTCCAACTTCCCACTGCAGGCAGCACAGTCCAGGACAAAGATGTGGGTGCACAAGTGCAGTTTCTGATAAACTCCACGCTTCTTTTCCTCCCCTTCTCTCTTGGAACCAGTCTTAAGGTGCAGAACTTAATATCCAGGATAATCAGAACAGACAATTAGGGATACCAGCACTATAAAAAGTCACCCTAGGACATAATGTAAAAAGGTGATAGTTTTTTCACTATTTGTCCTGCTTTATTCTAAACCTGAGTGATCATTTAAATCACCAAGAAAGCCCACCCAGCACCTTCCATAACCTTTGTTTTGGTTAAAAACAGCTTTATATTTTAAGGCAAATCTTTTGAGTAGTTAATGGCATTTTAAAACAATCAAACATTAAATGACTGCCAGGGTATTATCTGGTTTTGGAGACAGAATGTTCTATTGTACAACTGTGTCAGTGAAACTCTGATTATGGTATATGTTCCTTGCTTCCTCCTTTTCCATTAGTCTGTTTTAAATATTTAATAATTTGAAGAATGCAACATTTTTGTTCATTTCATTACTTGGTATTTAGTTGTATAGTGGATTGCATGACTCAGCTATGAACTAAAAATGACTGACAGATAGTTCTTGGTTCTGTATTTGCCAAGTCATAGGAGGTGACACATTGACTGTAATTAATTTCTGAAAAAATATTCTCCTTTGTCCTCAAAGGTCTCAGGCTTCAGTTTTCAGTAGTATAACTGTGCACTCCAAGTACATCAGCCTTGTTGTTGAATCTGAGAAAAGAATATTTGGACATTTACTTTTCTTTTTAAAGAACTGTCTACATACCACACGGCTCTCAAAGCAAATTTAATGTCTTTCTTGTCTGTTGTGTAGTGAGAGTTTCATGCAGTAGCAGATAATTACTTAAGCAAAAG